AGATGTGTATAGGATAGTAATATTGCACAGTTTTAGAACTTGTAACAGCATGTTATTCACTCATTAAAACTGAGAGCATGTTATGCACTCATTAAAACTGAGGACTAGCCGAAAATTTGTTTGAAAATACCGTAAATAATAATTTATCGAACTTAGAATTTTTCTAAGATGTTTTTAAATCTACAGTACTATAGGCATATAGTGTACAAACATACAATAGACATATGTGCAGGATACATTCATACCAGCGCAAACACATATTTTATATATTTACGTCATTAAATACGCATACCGGCACATACATATTTTAATGACCTACATACTATACAGTACGCACGTACCTCCCTAAGGGAGAACAATGAATGATCAAGTGATAGTGGATTAGCTGAAAATAATTGAAAGGTAAAACCAAGTAGAACATGAAGCGGGAATTTAACAAAATAATTAAGAATATACTAAGTATTGAATTAAAATACAGTATATATATATATTTATAATTAACCTATATTAATATATAACTTATATTAATATACATAAATTAAATGACAAAGGAAAATGGAATACAACCACAGCATAAGTGCGTTACCCTTTAGCATTGAAAACTTATACACAGAGAATGGAAAACGCTATGTTTAAAAGCCCCTGCAACTATGGGTGTACGAAAAAAATGGCCCCGTGAAAGAATGGCCCCGGTCAATGACCCCACGCCCCTAAAGACAGGTAGAGTATAATATAATTTCTGTGTCTAAAACCTTCATGCAATAACAAAATCGTACCCACATCTATAAACAGCTCGTCATTTCATTACATTTGAATATATCTAATACTTAATATTAAAGATCTATCATCATCGTTGTCGTCGTCATTATCATCATTATTATCATATAAAAATAACAATAATAATAATAATAACGATAATAATATATATATATATATATATATATATATATATATATTAGGCCTATTAATACTAACGATAATAATAATAATAATAATAATAATAATAATGATAATAATAATGATAATAATAATAATAATAATTTTAATGAGACCTTGAATTCATGTAATTAAGGAGTGTTGATTATGCTTCGAAGTTGATATTGTTTCAAAATCGACAAAAATGTGGGCTACGTTACACTGTAATTTTTTTTTCAAAAACATAAGGAGGGGGAGGGGAACGTGTGGGATGAGATGCGAGCAAAGTGAGCAGCTATTAGCTGGGGGCCCTCTAGGGTCCTGGAATAGAGGTTGTATTTAGTTGATTTGACTATCAGTAGCATGATAGCTTTCTAATAACATATCAATTATATATAAACTAGGCATATAGTTTTTTTTTTAAAGAAAACACATTTTAATATACTACAATATATAACTATAAAATGTTTCGATGACATGAATTAAATCAAGTAAAAATATTCCCAGAAAGAGAAGAAAAAAAAAACCACCACTGGATTTTGTTATACATCAGTGTGTGAATATAACCAAAGTTGAGTCCAAAACTGATAAATTTTATAATTTGACCGGATGTTTGACTAGTATATATAACAGCTACCCACAGGAATGTTAATGTCCATCGCCAAGGCTGAAATTGACAGTGACAAATACAGCCTCTTTGTATTGCACTTTTGTGGGTTTTTGGTAGGAAAAGAAGACTTGAACACAGCGGTTTATTTTTTTAAATAGGGATGGGCGTACTACTTACACCCCACCACCCCCGTTCCAGAAATTCGCCACTGCAAAAATTTATTCAAACGAATATTTTTGGCTACTCGACCCTGTAGCCTTTGTCAAAGCTTGACATCACGAACAATTTGAGAACGTTTCTTGGTATATATACCCATGGAGGTATAAAATTCTATTTTTGTACCTCCATGATATACCGTACAATTTGAGAAGTCCAAAGCAAGTCGGGGTAACGGATTAATAATATATTGAGGTACAGATAACTGGGACTCGCGGAGTCTCCCGGAATTCGGGACGGCCTCCAGCACTCTAGCAAGCAACCAAGAATCTCCCAGAAATTACAATTTTTTTAAATATATAAGAACACACTGTATAAGAACACTGGTGCTAAATTTGCTTCAAAAGTCACAACAAAATAAAAAAAAGTTAAGGCTGAGGTAAAATGTCAAATGAGATTTTTATTTTAAAAACTAGAAAAAATATAGGCCTATCTGTAGGCCTACCTTACTGTATGTGCAATAGGTGTGATTATGTAATACTCTCTATAATCTGTCTCTTATACACATCTCATTAGAAATCCCTAATATGCGTCGAACACTTCCCTAAGATGCGTCAAACACTCACGTGACCCTTTACAGACACACCTGTGCCATACCCATTAATCCAGGGTGTCTTATGACATGACTTCCCTCATGGCATTCAACAATGAAGCGTTGTGAATATCACACAGATACAGATATGCCATTATTGTTAATGGTAAATGTTATTTTCATTTTGATCAAAATTTAACTAAAAGTAGTCATCAAATTTCACCATTTTTTTGTTGTTGCAAAAACAGGGTTTCCAGCTTCAGGTGGGGGGGGGTGGCACATCCCCTGTCTGTACAATCGCACACATTAGCGCTAACAATAATATCAC